CAAGAGGTTAACTTTTATTTGTTTATTTTGAAAATATTTTTTAATTTGAATAGGTTAATTTTTTTCTTATTATCCTTAAACTGCTTAAACCAAATAATTTAGTAATGCAAATATTCAACTACAAGTATCTACTAATGAGAAATAGGTATTCTCCCTTCTTTTACACTATTACTATAAACTATATTAGTTAAGTAAGTTATGTTTTCGATATGAATAATCAAACTTTATTGAACATTTTTAATGCAATTTATTTTAATTTAATTTCAGATTTTTTGATATACCCGAATCACTAATATTTCCTGAAATACGGAGTTGTTCTGAGGTGTACGGACTAATGGCTCATGGACCACTGATAGCTACGCCAATATCTGGGGTAATAATTAATTATATTTTAAAAATTTAATTACTATCATACATTATCAAGTTATTATTATTTTTGTTATTAATAATGTATTTGTATAGTGCATAGGGGATCACCAAGGTGCCTTCTTGGGTCAGCTGTGTTTCATAGCTGGTGTAGCAAAGTGTACATTTGGTACTAATTGCTTTTTACTGTATAACACTGGTCGTAAGGTAAGCATAATTTGTTTTATTTTACAGCATACAAATAAAAGAGYTAGGCAAGATATAAAAAATTAGTTCTAAAAGATTTTTTCATCTTAACTTACTTTACCAATAATTAAGTTGTAATTTTGTTAAAATTAATGATWAATAAATACAAAACAATTCTGCTAGTTTCAATAATTCTTATTTATGTTAAGGAAAATGTAAAAAATACTAGATTAAATTCTACACAGCTATACAATAAATCATAAATTGCTTATGCTTATTAAAATTAAATGATTTTTTACTGGTTTAAAAAAACTGAAAAAAAAATTAWTAATTTATTTTATTTTATTCAGCCAGTGATTTCTTCACACGGACTTTTAACTACCATCGCTTACAAAATAGGCAAACACTCCGATCCAATTTATGCTCTTGAAGGATCTGTGGCTGTTTCTGATTTTACTACTGAGTGGTTGAAAGATAATTTATGGGTCATGGATATTTATAAAAATGTAAACGAAAGTACCAATAACTTGGCCAACATTGAGGGAGACTTAAATAAAATTCATTTGATTCCTGCTTTATCTGAACTTTATGCACCATTCTGGAAAACTGACGCAAATGGGTTAGTTCCTGTAATTTTGTGTTAATAACGTCTTATKGTCACTGTTGAATTCATATTTTATTTTATTAGAATCGTTATTTGTGGTACATACATAGATTTTTTTCAAATATGGATTAACCTAATTTCTATGTTGTACAGTAAACTCACAGGACAGATTATAGATACATCAACTGCATATTTAATGCGAGAAACTCTTGAAAGAATCTGTTCACAGACAAATGAAGTTTTGCAATCTATGCACACAGATACTGGACATCCTATTGTGGCATTGAATGTAGACGGGGGCATGTCTACTAATGATACATTTTTGAAGATTCTCACAAATATTTGTCGTCTTCCTGTTGGTAAGTTTGAAAACAAGCATTTTAAATACAATTTAAAATACATTTTTCCTTTACATGAAACTCATAAAAAAAAAATTTAATGGCTGACATAATATTTTGTAAGTTCACAAATTATTTACTTAATGAAAAATCAATTCGATGTATATATTCGTTAGTAGTATCACTATTAGTTCAAATTGTTATA